GAATAAATATGAGAAAAGGAAAAAATGGAAAGAAAATCTTTGTAAATAGGGAGAGGTGGAGGGGTTGAAGGGAGGGCAGGGGAAGGGGGAAAAATAAGAACCAAGAGAGATTATGTAACAGTGCAAATTTCCAATGATGAATGTCATTATGTTGTATACCTAAAATGTACCAGTAAAATAAATTTTTAATTGTTTTCTGGTCAAATGCATCATTCACGCAAAATTCTGACATCAGGGTTTATCATACAGTTAAATCCTATATAAATTTGTGTTTTCTTGTGCATTTGTGAATAAGCTCCATGGGGCAGTGGCCTTGGCTCAATGCTGTACACCTGAGACCCAACAGAGGCCCTAGACATGGGAGAGGCCTAGTGGATGTCTATGAATGAATGGATAGACATAAAGTTATATCCTAAAGCTAGGAAAAGCTCCTTCACATTAAACTAAACATTCATGAAAGAAGGGAGCCATTGGTTCCCAAGCTGGAGCTGGATGCAGACATCCAGCACACAAAGTCATCCTATTGGTAACAAGGAATCAAGCTCATATTTTCTTGGACCATTCTCCCCCCACTCATTGTGTCATTGTGTCTCTGTGTGCAGCAGTTTCTTTTAAAACTGCAAACAAAAAAGCAGAAAATTTAACAATTCCTTTATGGAAAAAAAGAACCCTTCATAGCTGAATGGAAACCCAGACATTTTTATGTTTTCAGTAGTACACTAATGCTCAATGGGTACGTGTACATTTTTAGAGCTATGCATAAATTTATTTTTCTCTTGAATAACATCCAAAATAGAAGTTATGGTGTGGCCTGACCCTGGTTACCTTCTTTTGGGAAAGGAAGGAGCTAATGTTGAATATCAGGGAGATGATCATCTGCAGTCAGGGTTTGAGACCTGCATTTGCCCGAATGGCTTTCAAAGGCTAGTGTAACATTTCATACTCCACCACAGAATTTTAAAAAACTGGTCTTCTATGAGTCTTCTGCTGTGACTTAGTGGGGTTGATGTTGAAGAGTGAACTAGTAGACATGTAAGTTCAATTTTGAACAGGATATTTTTATTGAGAATTAACACAAAGCTCAAACTTCACTGTCTGATTTCCCTCTCATTAATTTCCAGATATGAAATATTTTGCAATTGATTCTCACTAAAATATTTCCTTAATTTTCAAAAATATTACCATTTCCCAATAAAAATTTGCAGCTGAGCAATGATTTGCATTTAAGCTCTAGTGTGTATACTACTCAGCTATAAAGAAGGATAAACTTGAGCAATTCTAGGTAAATGGATGCACCTTGAGATCACACTCCTAAGTGAAATAAATCAGACACACCTGTGTAAATGTTGCACTGTCTCTCTGGTGTGGGAAACTGAAAGTGTAAATGAGGACCAAAATGTATAATAGATGATGTGAAATAGGAAGAAACTGTTCAAAAAGAAAGGGGAACTAGGGAGAGGAGAGGGGAGCAGGAAGGAAGGGAAATAAGGTGGGGAAGAGGGGTTGAGGGAGGGAGGGGAATGCAAATAAAAGAGGAATCAAGGTATATCGTGTACGGTACAAATTCCCCATGATGCATGTGATCATTCTGTCTAAGTTGTACCAGTAAAATTAATTTTTAAAAAACCTCTAGTCTCCAAGGAAAAGGCTGCTCATTAGGGATACAGGCAAAACAGATTTTCAACACATTTATCTACTATTGAGTCATGACTCACTTATCTGTACCTCAGTTTTCTCAGCTGGAAGATTACAATATTTGTGGCAAGTATTATGATTGCGGCACTTGTTCTGCACACTTTTCAGAAAAATAATGCTAATAAAATAACATAAGTGCTCTTTTCTTGAGCACGTCCCATAAACTGGACAATGCATTAGAGTCTCATTTGATCTTCGAAGTAGCCCTGTGGACCTGACATGATGATTTTCAGTCCACAATGAGGAAAACAGGTGATCTGTAGCCAAAGCTCAGCCTTCTTCCTAAACACGTTATGTCTTCTTTTCATCATGCATAACTCAATGTCTTGAAACCTCAGTGAGTCAGAGAGTATTCTTCGACCACCAGGCTTCCTTATCAAGAGGATGTGTGAAATGGGGGACTAGAAAAGATAGCGGACACCTCAAGTGGAGAGAAGAGCAGCTCCTGCTGACATGGGGCAAGGGAGCAACTCTCTTACCTCATAGGTGCTGGTGATGCCAGATCTGTAGAACACAGGGAGAAAGAGCTCCGATGTGAAGATGATAACCAATGTGTACGCAATGAAGAAGAGGATGAAGGAGGCCCCGAAGCGGTAGACCTCGGAAGGGGTCCCCAAGACAGTGACTGCTGACATGAAGCTGGCTGTCAGGGACAAGGCGACAGGCCCGAAGGACATTTCCCTGCCCCCTACCAGGAACTGCTTAGATGTTGCCTTTTTCCTCTCCTTAATGGCAAAGAACACCCCAATTCCAGAGGAAATGACAAAAAGGGCTGCGAATACAACATAGTCCCAAGCTGCGAAGCTCTTCACCTCCATGGCAAGAGTGGGACACTAGGAAGTGGTGTCCCAACAGGTCCCTGCAGGATGTTTCCCAAAGCAAAGCTCAAAACAGAGGTCTTGAGAGGGAGACTGCGGTTTCCTCAAGAGGACGAGGACAGCCGCATGGATCTTCAGACTCCGAGTTACACTGGAGAAAGACCTTCCAAGCACTCTGTGAAAGACGATTCTCAGGAGAATTCGTACCAAGAGATGAGGGCTTGCAATGCAATCCCAGCCAAGAACAGCCTGGTCCTCTCCTGAAGCATCTACCCAAGAGGAGGAGATCAGATGTGCTCTGAAGTTTATAACTACTGGGGGTGGAATGGTCCTGTCCCATGGCATGCTCTTTTACCTCCTGGATTTTTTTCGAAGTTAAGGTTAAACATTACTGAGAAGCACAGAAGTGATAAAAGTTGACCTCCTCAGCATTTTTAAGTAGTGAAATGGACTCTGTCAAGCGCAGCCCATGCCTCAGAGCTGTCCCCGTCCTGAGGATGAGCAAGCGCCCGCAAATACTTGGGGCAGTGGATGTGGATGGAAGGATCGAAGAGCTGGAATCCAGAGAGCATGCTCAAGTCCTGGCTTCGCACAGGGAGCCGCCTCTGACAAAGCATTTCTGTTTTCTGTGCTCTTCCTGGGACACTCGGATAAGACCTTACAAAGTCATTATGAGTCTTTCAGTCTCAAACTTTCTGACCTTCTTTATCCTAATCTATAAAACAAAAGGTAATACTATCCACCCAGTGACCTACTTTTGTGCTTATAGTGGAGCATTCCTGAACATAACACTCTGCCTTAACTCAGAAAATGGATTTTTCAAGAATTAAGAGGTTACTCGTCGCCCTCAGCTTTATCTTCTCCTCTCCATCATGTCACCAGTTGCTTTACTTCACCCAGAGCTTCAGTCAAATGAGGACAAGACAAATGAGAGAAGGTCGGATGGTGAAAACCAGTTACAAACCCCTGCCTCTGCCCTCGGCAGGCTGAAGTGCTCAGCAGTACCTCCAGCGAGCTGCCAGGGGACAGTTTCTCTGTTTCCCTCATGCTTCTCCTCTCCCCTCGATTATTTCCTACATCCCCACCTCCACCGTGCAAGATCTAGCCTCCCCAGCACCCTGCAGTCTTTCCCACCCCTGACCTCAATTTCTGCAAGGAGGACCCTCCTTTGCCGCTCACTTATGCTGGCTTTAAACTCTGCAGTCATCCTCAGCAACCTTAAGCGATCTCTGTGTGGGGCTTTGGGAATCCTTCTGATGTCGCAAAGGACCAGATTGTTGGAGACAAAGGCAAAAGGCCTAGTACCGTCGTGGCAAACCAATGGCACAAGTGCTGCAGTGCGCTGTCTGTTATCACTGAAAGTTCTAAAAGTTTCGCCACCCCTGACCTAGTCTATGTCCCCATCAAAAAGCAGCCATTATAGAAAATAAGTGAATAATACAAAACAAAAACAGTAGACAACTAGAATTATCCATGTGGCCCCCAAATAGAAACACTTGTAGTCAAATACTTCTTGACATCTGGATCACTGCGTAACTCTTTGATTATTTGTTTTGTTGGAATACCATCTTCCCGCTCAAACTCGCTCCATGGATTTGTACCAGGCCCGAGGAAGCTCTGGTGGCTGGAGTTTGCTTTCAGTTATAAATAAGGACGTGAAGACTCTGCCTGGAGCTCTCTGTACCTTGCTATTTAAATGTCTCCTCTAGATGTGTGGTTTTGAAATGATCAGTATTCAAGAACAAATAGATCTTCATGACCTTCTGCTTTGTGTAGGATTTTTGTTATTGTTATTGCGGGGAATAGGCACACTTGGTTTCATGGCAGATACCACTTGTTTTGTTTTGTCCTTACAAATTGAAGATTTGTGCTGACCTTTCATCAAGTAAGTCCGTGGCTACTCTTTATTTCTGTAAGAACGTGTTTATTTTGGGTCTCTATGCCATGTTTTGATAATTCTTGTACTACGTTAGATTTTTAAATTACTGTTACATTCATGAGGGTGATTTGTGACCTTTGATGTCATTACTGCGCTTGTGCGGAGGTGCACAATTTATGCCCATTTAAGACCGCAGATGTAGTGAACGAACATCGAGTTCTGACTGCTCCACTGGCCAGCCAGCCCTTCCTCCACCTCTGCCCCTCTCCTCAGACCTCACAATTGCTTAGCTGCAATATTGAAGGCCCATCACTAAGCCCACAGTGATGCCTACGTGTTCGAGTACAAGGTGTGTCTCCCCTCTAAACCCCAAGGTAGAGAGAATGCAGTTCGGGAGCAGCCTACACTGTGATCCAGGACATGTGAGAAGGTGGGAGGAAACGTTCTTGAAGGACTTGCAAAGTGCTATTCCCATAAGCATCAGAAAGCAAAATGGCCTAATAGCTGGTGTGCAGATAGCTTTACTGTTCTGGGTAAAAGATCAAATCAGTGACAACATTCCTTCAATCCAAGACTGCTCCAAAGGAAGACTCTTAGCTCTCTTGGTTCTGTGAAAGCGGAGAGGTGAAGAAGCTACAGGAAAGTGTTTAAAATTAGCAGAGTTTATTTTGTGAGCTCCAAGGAACGAGGGCATCTCTGGCACGTGCTACTGCAGAGGCCAGGCCGAGCTATCCAGAAGATGGGGCAGATATCACCGATGAAGAGGCTGCACTAAACAACGGATTTTCAGTATGGACAAACAGCCTTCTTTGACAGGGAAAAGCCACCTTGGCCTTTCGTCACTTGGGAGGAGAGAGCAATGCCCATTCTCAAAGCTTCGAGGGAAGCTGACTCTTGCCAGGGGATGACAAAGCTGTGGTTTAAATTGAAGCCCAGGTTCACTCTGTTCCTGAGGATTCTGAGGCCCTTGGGAATTAGGCTGAATCCACCCTGCATGTGCTTTATAAATAGAAGGCGAAAGCTTCGATGCCAACACATCTATTTAAGCATGATTACCCCATGTTTAAATTCCCCAGCACTGAGGCCAATTGATCAGAAAAAATTATTCCTTTCAAAATATTAGTGCTCATGGACAATGAACCTGGTCACCCGCAACTCTGCTGGGGAAGTGTGAGCTCAGTGTTCTCTGACTGCGAATTCGTCATTCATTCCTCAGCCCATGGATAATGTTGAAAGTCATTTCAAAGAAATGCATTTCACATGGCTGTAGCTGCTGCCACAAACAGGGATTCCGCTGATGGACTGGAAAAAGTGAGCTGAAACCCCGTAGAGGAATTCACGATTCCCAATACTGCAGAGACCATGAGTGAGAGCAAAGTATCAGCATCAACAGGGAACAGAGAGTTGATTCCAACCCCAATGGGGGATTGTGAAGAGTACAAGACATCGGTGAGGGAAAAAAGTCCAGACGTGGTAGAAATAACAAAAGAACTAGAGCTGGAAGTGAAGCCCAGAAGGTAACTGTGTTGTTGAAACTTCCTGATAAAACCTAAACGCATCAGGAGTTGCTCATCCTACACAGAGGGCAAGGAGGTTTTTTGACGTGGAAGCTGCTACATAAGCAGATGCTGTGAATGCTGTTGAAATGACTGTGAAGAATTCAGAATATTACACAAACCCACCTACGAATAGGGAGCAGAGCTTGAGAGAATGGACCCCAGTTTTGAAAGACATTCTCCAATGGGTGCAGCACTGTCAAATGTCTTTGCATGCCTCAGAGAAATCTTGCATGAAAGGAAGAGTCAATCTATGTGGCAAACTTTATTGTTATCTGTTGGTGGTCTCTCTAGAGGGAGACCTGAGACCCCGGGAAAGCACCGACTTTTAAAGAAAGAAAAGGAGGCAGCCTGGGGGATGAACAGCCGTTTAATTCCTCTGGCACTATTCGACCATCACAAAGGGAAGAGGCAAGGCTTTTATACATGTAGGAAAGCACCTTAGTTATTCTGGTTATCGTCTTTCTGATTTTAACCTCTGGTGACAAATGACTTTAAGTGACTCATAAAAGCTACAGGCGAGTTCACAAGTCCCCTGTTTCCATTCACCAATCCCGTACCTCAAAGAGCACACCGCAGCCGTCTTCTTATCAGATAGTATCAAGACAGCAGGACAATTTCAGTCAAAATCAAGCCCACCAGCCCACCATAAACATCACAGATGTGCACAGTGAATCGTATCTCTCTCATCACCCGTAGAATGGTAAATAAGAAAACTAGGAAAACCTGTTTTTCTCCCGTGAGACTTTTACAACGTCTCTTAAAGTTTTCTGACATTCTTTTAACAAACAGACTTGTGGATTTTCCCAGAAACAACTTAATTTTCTCAGTTAACAAACTTCTTGTGATCAATTCTTACAACTAGATAGCTGAATTCTGCAAGTTCCCACAGTTATCTTTTTTAAAAATGTGTCTTTATTAGTACCTTTCTGCAATACCTGAAGCTTATGTTCATCTTAGGGACTAGGTGCATGTACAAACTACATCTCAATTCTTTTTCATTCCCCTTCTCTCCCCACATACCTCCCTCCCTCCATGTCCAAATCACCTTCCCCCATTTCCATATTATTCTTGTCAGTGTTATGTCTGGTTCATATGCATGACATGTAGTGTTCACATTGCTTGTGGGCATTTGGCACCTGTACATAACACATCATAAATCTTTATATTTCTTCTTCCTCCTCTCTTTCTCCTGTTGACCTCATTCCCTTGGACCCCCTTCCCATTTGCAAAAGATCTGTCTCCCTGTTTCTGCCTAACATATTTTTGTTTTGTACTTTATTTACACTTTGCCTTATTCAAATGACAGATAGTATGTGGTATTTAAGAGTGTGTGTCTGCCTTATTTCACCTAACATTGTATTTTCCAGGTGTATCCATTTTCCTACAAATGTCTCAGATTTATCCTTCTTTATAGCCAAGTAGTATTCATCATTGTAGATACCACATTTTCTTTTATCTATTTATATGTTGATGGACACAGGCTGCTTCCAGGATTTGGCTATTATGAGTTGTGCTGCTATAAATAAGGATATGCACACATCACTATAATATGATGTGTTTAGCTTTCTGAGAAAGACAGCTAAAAGGAGAGTGGCTAGATCAAATGGGATTTCCAATTTTAGTTCGTTGAGAAATCTCCACATGGACTTACACCCGTTGTCCTAGTTTCCTGCTGCAGTCTCCCCAGCCTTAAGCAACCAGGACCCTGATGAGGAAACCAGACCTCCCAGCAGCAAAACAACTGTGACTCTTGAAGGCTCAGGTGATCATTAGCATTTTTATTAATAAAGTGTTTTTAATGGAGTTTTATACTTTTTAAAACTTAATGTTATTGCACAAATGATAGACTCGTATAGAAACATAACTTTTAC